CCATGCCACAATCCCTTTTCCATTCTCCTCTCGGGATCTTGGGCACACACGCACCTCGTGTGAGTTTAAACCACCAGGTCCAGGACTCGAACCGCAGTCAACTACATGGGAATCCAGCGACATAGCCATTACGCCAACTGCTGGTCCCCATAAAATAATTTTTTTAAAAAAGGAGTACTTAGAATGTGAGCATCATTAAATACAATCACTTGGTCCCTTTTATTTTTAAACAGATGATTTTTGACCCTACCATGAGCAAGAAGAAAAAGAAGAAGAAGAAGCCTTTCATGTTAGATGAGGAGGGGGATGCCCAGACAGAAGAAACTCAACCCTCAGAAACAAAGGAAGTGGAACCAGAGCCAACTGAGGACAAAGATGTGGAAGCTGATGAAGAGGACAGTAGGAAAAAAGGTGACAGGTTCATGTGAATGTGTCATTGTTGTTCTGGGAGCCCTTATAATAACATCAGTGTTTTGGATTTTGTGCGTGCAGGGACCTCTCAGCCTGATAATGGTTTTGTAGTGAAGTCAAGGCCATCAACATTCTGTGTGCACTGAACTGTGCCAGATTTTGAGAGAGAAATTCCCAGTGAATTCACAAGTTGCAAAGATGATGAAATCTCATCATTCTAGGGCTAGTTTTCCAGTCTAACCTATCAGATCTCTTCTCCAACTTTAATTGTAGTTATATTGAATATAGGCAGAAAGAAATAGGACTGAGACAGTTTGTGTTTTAACCATTCTCAAGATGAATATTAGAGATTAAAATTGTAGCCTATAATATTTGGGGTTAGATACCAGCTTTAGTTATTCACTCTTGTGCCCTAATATAGATATAATTTGACTACTAGAGAGAAATAATTTAGTAAACATAATTTGTATTAAATGTAGACTGCTAGGATAACATCTTGAGCATCTACCGTATGCTAAATATCTTGTACATGTTTAAAACAAACTTGGAAAATTGTTTAAATCATTTCTATTGTAATATGACAGAATGAATTTAAAAATATCTCGTTGAAAAACTATGTAGCAGAGGGATCCTAAAATATGCATAGTATACAACATGGCAGAACAAATGGAAAATTTATTTAACAGAACCCATTAATACTTATCAGTAGTAGATAAAAGATCGTTAGTGTTCCTATTTTCCACGTAGCCTTATTTTAAAACATTTTTCCTTTTTTTAAATTGCGAAAGAGCACATGTGCTCACCAGAGAGACAGGAAGCACTCTCCAATGGAGCATGGTCACACTGCAAGCTCTTCTCCATTTCTCCATACTGTTGGGATTTTGGACATCTCAGACACCTGCCTAGCATGTTTTGAAGCTTCTGGATCTGGGATTCAAGTTATGTGGTTGGCCATGTTGGATCTGACTCCTTTAACCACCAGTCCACAGTGCCAGTTGTCTTTTTATTTTTATTTTTGAATTAATTTATTTGCCCAGAGAGGGACAGAGTGAGAGAGGGAAAGTGAGAAAGCAAGCCACCAGGTCCAGGATTTGAACCACGGTCATCCATGTGGGAGTCCAGCACCCTTAACCACCACGCCACCTGCTGGCCCCCTAGTTTTTGTTTTTTAAATCATGGTAGAGCACATATGCACCCATGCAAGAATGAAAGAGGAGCGCCTGGGGCCGGCAGGAGGCTTGATGGTTAAGGCACTGGATTCCCATGTGGCCAACCATGGTTTGAGTCTCGGACCTGAAGCCTTGCTTTCCTACTTTCTCCCTCTCTATCTCTCTCTGGTCAACTTAAAGAAATAATAATGATGATAATAAATGAAATAAAGTAATTATTACTTTTTTTTGAGAGTTTTTTTTGCTATAGGGCACACGCACTCACCAGAAAGATGGAGAGAGACAGAGAGACAGAAAGCGAGAAATCAACCCCCTAGGGGGGATGGCCACACCGCAATCCCTTCTCCTCTTGGGATCTTGGACACTCATGTACACGCACCTGGTGTGAGTTTAAGCTGTCAGGTCCAGGACTCGAACCATGGTCAACTACATGGGAGTCCAGCGACATAGCCATTACGCTAACTGCTGGTCCCAAGTAATTCTAAAAAAAAAAAAAAGAGAGAGAGAGAGGTGCACCCTCCACAGGATCTGATCTTGTCATGATCTCCTTCCCTTAGTCCTCAAGCTTATTGGATCTTGTACCATTTACATGTATGCCTAGTATGTTGCAGGTTGACCAGGCTGGGGATTCAAACCACAGTTGCTGTGTGGGATTTGACTGCTCTTGAGCCACACATTACTTCTGATAATTAGTTCTGAGGCTGGTCCTGCAGCCTTTTTTTAATGAATTTGCAAAATAATTTATAAGATTAATTTTTAAAATCACACTGGAAATTTTTAAGAAATATTATTATTCTTTAAAAATTTGATCAGAGGAGACACACAGAGAGAGAGAGAGAAAGCAAGCCGCTGGGTCCAGGACTCAAAACTGCAGTTGGCCATGTAGGAATCCAGCGCCTCAACCACCATGCTACCTGCTGGCCTCTCACACTGGAACTTCTTAATTTTTTCTTTCAGCTTTTTTTTTTTTAATTGGATCTTTCCTATAATGCAGCAGTTAAGTTCTGTGCATAGAAATTTGGATCCCACATGGCCACAACCATGGTTCAAGTCCTAGACCTGGTGGCTTGAAAAAACATGCCAGGCACATGTACCTGCATGCCCTAAATCATCCTGATGGGATGGAGGAATGAAGGAGAAAGAACTGTAGTGTGACCATGCCCCATTGAGAGGTTCTCTCTCATTCTCTTTCTCTGGCAAGGGCACATGCCCTTTGGCATTTTTTTTTTTAATTTATTTCATGAATAAGACATAGACAATATGTGATAACTTGTGATAACTTCTTATGTGGATCTGTGTTAGACACCATCTCATCTAACTGTTGTGCCACCATTTTAGCCCTTATGAGGACTTTTGTTTGAGTAACTAAATGAAATGTTGAGCTGGGTGCTAAGATTTAGGTGAACAAAGTGTAGCTGCTTAGTAATAATTAGTAGGGAGATAGATAAGCAGTCTGGTTGTAAGTAACTCAGTTGGAGTGAACAGGACATATTATGCAATTATTCTGGGGACATCTAACCAAATAGGCTTAAAGAAGGATTCTTGGTGGAAGTAACTTCTAACCAAGATCCTGTGAGATAAGAAAGCTTGGAGGTAAAATACCACACACACTGTGGTAGGCACTGGAAATAGTTCAGTAGGCTAGAGCCTCAGGGATTAAGGTATGGGAGGTGATGAGAACTTGCAGACAGGAATGGAGGGATATAGCTGAAGAACCTTGGAAATAGTGTTAAGAGTTCTGAGAATAATGGAAAGTGATGTAGTCAGATTACTAAACAGGTATTCTCAATATCGTCTAGCTGTATTTTTCCTGCAGAAAATATATTTTTTTTGAACTATAACCTTTATGGTGTGGAGAGATGCTGTAGTAATTAATCCTCAATCTTTGTTTTTTAGTCACTTGATAAGTAGTTGAAACATGTTGGCATAACTGAAAATTTGGTGCTTTGCCTCCTGTTCTTTGTTGTTAATAATTAACAATTTTTCATCTGTCTTTTTAGATGCTTCTGATGATTTAGATGACTTGAACTTCTTTAATCAAAAGAAAAAGAAGAAAAAAACAAAAAAGATATTTGATATTGATGAAGCTGAAGAAGGTGTAAAGGTAGTATTGCTTTCTTATTAAAGGTAAAATTTGATCTTTCGAAAGGTTGCTAATAGCTGGTGTTTCCCCCCTTTGTCTCATATCTTACTAGCTTTGCTTTTCTTATTAGGCACTTAATCACTTGTGATAAGGTCATTTTCTTCGGTAAGTATCAGACTAGGTATCTTAAAGGGATTACAGTTCAAAGGATTGTAAATTTAGATCTTACATATTGTGTTCCATTAAGATGATCACAATATGCCCCTTGTCCTTAATCATAGTGAGATTCTTTGACTGAAGAGAGATCATTTCTGTACATAAGAAATCATGAGGAGCAAATAGTTCTGTGGATTCTTCTGTAAAAATTTTGGTAGGTGAGATGAGGCAGGTGACACGGTGATTAAGGCACTGGACTCCGATATGGTGTAGTGGTTATGTCACTGGATTCACACATAGCCTACCGTGGTTCAAGTCCCACCCGGTAGCTTTAAAATCATCCCAGGCACATGTGTGTGTGCCTAAGATCCCAGGAGAAGAATAGAGGATGAGGGATTGCAGCATGGCCATCCCCCTGAGGGGATGATTTCTCACTTTCCCTCTCACCGTCTGTCTCTCTGGCAAGCACAAGTGCCCTAAGGCAAAAAAAACCTCTACCCAAAAAAAGGCTCTGGACTCCCACATGGTCAACCATGTGGACTGGTCTAAGTCCCAGACCCTGCAGCTTGAAACTTCCGCCGTGCATGTGTGTATGCGTGCCCAAAAAGGAGAATGGTAGAGAAGGGATTGTGGCATGGCCATCCTCCCTGTGGAGTGATTTCTCACTTTCTGTTTCTCTGTCTTTATCTCTCTGGCGAGTACACATGCCCAATAGCAAAAATCTCTCTCTCAAAAAAAAAAAAATGTGTGTGTGTGTGTACACATTAGGGACCAGCAGTTGGAGTAGTGGCTATGTCACTGGACTCCATATAGCAGACCGTGGTTCAAGTCCCAGACCCGGTGGCTTAAACTCAAACGCTGGGCATGTGTGTGTGCGTGCCCAAGATCCCGAGAGGAGAATGGAGGAGAAGGGATTGTGGTGTGGCCATCCCCCCTGGGGAGTGATTTTTTGCTTTCTGTCTCTCTGGCAAGCGCACATGCCCTATAGCAAAAACCTCACCTAAAATAAATAAATAAATAAGTGAATAAAATTTTTTTTTTTTTTAGTAGCGTGTTGAAAATACACAAACTTACTTGTATCTATAAGCAGCAAAGAATGAACTCCACCCTGTAGTGGTAGGTAACAGATAACAATGTGACCTGAAGGTAAATAGGCTAATAGGCTAATTCTTTGGTCTTACAGAGATTTTTGAGATTCAGTAATTATCACCGGATTGATTTCCTGTGTTGTGTGTATATACATAAGTTTATTTATTTATTTATTGCTTTTTAAAAATAATTTTTAAGAGAGATTTTTGCATTAGGGCATGTGCGCTTGCTGGAGTGACAGAGAGAAAGCGAGCAATCACCCCTCAGGGGATGGCCACATGCAATCCTTTCTCCATTCTCCTCTCGGGATTTTGAGCATGCATGCACGTACACAGTGATGTAACCATTATGCCATCTGCTCTTCCCAGTTTATTTATTCTGTGAGTGGCAGAGATAGTATCCCCTACAGTGTCTTGATGCCATGATCTATCCTCAGCCAGCCCTGGATAATGGGTATGCAAGGCCTAGTGTCTCCATATGTCAACATTCCCAAATGACAGAGCATTGTGTTTTACCATTGTGCCACTGGGTGATAGGTAAATAGAAGGTTAGATATGAGAGAGGAAGGAGACGAAAATCTGTTATTCTACCTTTAGCTACCTTTTTGAAGACCCTGTTTGGGAATTACTTCAGCAGAGCCCACACATCTTTATATAAAATACAAGATAATAGTAATTTATACACACAGAACGTAAGAGTAAGAGAAGAACATACATGTACATTCACACCATATGTCTCATTTTATGCCATCTTTTGTTTTTTCTTTGGTAAGTAGTGTATTTTCAGGGCCAGCAGGTGGCATAGTGATTAAGGCACTGGACTCCCACTTTGCTGACCAGTTTACGTCCCAGACCTGGGGGCTTAAGAATCACGTGGTGGGGGACAGCAGGTGGTGTCGTGGTTAAGATGTTAGATTCCCACATGGCCTACCGCAGTTCAAGTCCCAGACCCAGAGGCTCGCAACTCTTGCCAGATGTGTGTGTGTGTATGTGTGTATGTGTGTATGTATGCCCCAAATCCTGAGAGGGGTATGGAGGAGAAGGGATTGTGGTGTGGTCATCCCCCAGGAGGTGATTTCTCACTTTTCTCTCTGTCTCTCTCTCCAGCAAGTGCACACACCTGCAGAAAATCACTCCAGGGTACGGGTGTGCGCACACCCATAATTCCAGGAGGAAAATGGAGGAGAAGGGATTGTGGTGTGGTCATCCCCCAGGAGGTGATTTCTCACTTTTCTCTCTGTCTCTCTCTGATGAGCTCTTGTGCGCTATGGCAAAAACTTTAAAGGAAAAAAGTACATTTGTGCAAACCTAAGTAAATAAGGTATATCCCACATGTAGCAGGAAATATATAAAAAAAACTCAAACAGCGTCTAATTTTGACTCAGGCGTTGTGTGATAATTTCTAGGGTGCTGAAATTAAGAAGACATTTTTTCCTGTTTTCAGAAATACTAGTTCAGGAATATTTTAAACTCCTTTAGAATGAGATGATTTTACCTTGATTCATCTTATTTTCTCCGTTTGGGGATTTTTCTTCTCTTGCTACTGTAAGGAAACTGAGAGAAAAATCTCAGATTAAACTGAACAAATGTGGTTTAAAGTATCAGAGATGTGCCACAGAAAGTCTTGTTGGCTTTCTTTGTTGGTTGATTCCTCCGTAGCTTTTGTCCTGAAGAGCCACTGATAAGCTTTACTTTTATTAAGAGCTTTCAGTATTAAAAAAATCATAACATAAGAGAGGATGTTATAAATCTTCTGATGACTAAGCACGACATGGATGTTAACTTGAAGCTGAAATGTTTTTGAGGTCTTGAGTTACTCTCCCACCTAAATTTTTAGACCATTACAGAGCTTTTGAAAAACCTTTATAGGAGCCAACAAGTGTTGTGGTGGTTATAGTGCTAGACTCCCACATGACCCACTGGTTCAAGACTGGACCTGGTGGCTTGCTTTCTCTTTCTCTTTCTCTGTCTGCTGAGCACACATACTGTATAGCAAATTAATAATAATACATAAAAATATATCTATATTTTTAAAGAAAAACTTGTATATAAACACTTTTTGCTATTCTCTGTCTTTTGGATCTTCTGGAACAAAATAAATAATTAAGAGTAGAAGTTCACTGGTTTGTGCTAATTTATATTCAACATTTTTAAGTTTTTCATTTACTGAGTATCATCTTCCAAGATCAGCTTAGTATCTGGATTTCTGTTTGTACAGTATCTAGCTAATGCCATGGGTTAATTGAACTTCGATGGCCAAAGATCATACCAAGATAATACAGTAAAATTGGAATCTCCAGTCTGAACTTCACTTACTCCCAGCTATTCCAACTTTCTTGTTAATAAAATTTCTGAAATTATTATAGTCATTGTCATAGTAGTTCAGGATGTGGACACAAAAAATAGATTCTTTTAAAGGTTTTTGCCATAGGGAGCTTGTGCTCACTAGACAAGAAATAGAGAAAGGGAAAGTGAGAAGTCAACCACCAAGGGGAATGGCCTTCTCCCCCAATCTTCTCTTGGGATTTTGGGTGGGCATGCATGTATGCCCAGCATGATTTTTAAGCCATCAGGTCCAGGACTCGAACCATGGTTGGCCATGTGGGAGCCCAGGGCCTTAACCACTTCACTACTTGCTGGCCCCCTAAAAAAAGATTTTGTTGATAGTACATTTTGGGATGGGGGCTGGATAAACTGGTAAGAGGAGGAAGGAATTAAAAGTGTTTCCTGCAGACCCATAGCCAGGTGCCAGGTTGTGATTTAAAATATATATACAGGGACCAGTAGTTAGCGTAATGGCTATGTCACTGAACTCCCACGCAGTCGACTGCAGTTTGAGTCCCGGACCCAGTGGCTTAAACTCACACTGGGCACGTGTGCGTGCGTGCCCAAGATCCCGAGAGGAGAATGGAGGAGAAGGGATTGCAGCATGGCCATCCCCCCTGGGGGGGGGGTGGATTTCTCACTTTCTCTCTCTCTGTCTCTCTATATATATATATATATATATAAATTTACACACTATATACACACACACACACACACACACACATAAGTATTTGGTCTTTTTCCCTGGTTCTTAGCACATAGCTCCTGAAAATCTTTTGGAATGCCCAAAAAGTGTCTTGTATGCTAACAAGATGACTAGTGACTGGGGGTCCCTAGATAGTAACTTTAAGGTGGTAGCTTAGGGGGCCAACAGGTGGCGTAGTGGTTAAGGTGCAGGATACCCATGTGGTTGACCACAGTTTAAGTTTCAGACCTGGCAGCTTGAAATTCATGCAGATACTTGTGCATGCTCAAAATTGCTAGAGGATAATGGAGGAGAATGGATTGTGGCATGGCCAGTCCCCCCTTAGGAGTGATTTCTTGCTATCTGGCAGCCCTGTACCAAAGCTTTCTGGGGGGAAAAAAGAAGAAGATGATAGCTTAGTCACCAGCCATTCCCAAGTCATGAAACTTAACAGTCTTGCTACTTCTGGGAAGAGGGGTCTAGAAATAAGAGGAGATCATTCACCAAATTGAGGTTGAGATCATTATCAAATCATAGTGATCAGTCATTTAGTCTATCATGCCTACATCATAAGACCCCTAAGTGACTGGGTTTGTAGAGCTCCCTGGTTATGAACCTGTTGAGGTGCTGGGCTGGCTAGTGGCGTGCCTGGAGACAGCATAACAGCTCCATGCCTGCTTCCCTTGTCACTCTCCAAACTCCTCCACTCTATACCTTGTTCTATGCATTGCTTCTATTCTCTGTTCCTGAGTTGTATTCTTTAGAATAAATTTGATAATAGTAAATAAAGAGCTTTCATGAGTTATATTAGTTGTTTTAACAAACTATTAAATCTTGCAAGGGAGGGATGTGTGGGAGAAGTTCCTAATGCATACCCAGCTTGGACAGGATAGGAATGTGGATAACTTGGGGACCTAAGTATTTGCAAGTGGCATCTGAAGGGAGGGCAGACTTGTGGGACTGAGCCCTTAAACCCATGGAGTTTGATGATACTCCAGGTAATTAATATTTGAATTGAATTGGAGAACACCTAGTTGGAAAATTGATGTGGAAAAACACACTAAATATCTGGTGTGTCTTCAGGGAAAGTCACCACATTGACTGCATCTGATTCACTTAGAAAATTTTTTTAAAATTTCTTTCATGAGAGACACACAAAGATAAGTACTCTCAACAAGGTCTGTGTCAAAAAGAGAGACATACATAACCACACAACCCATACCCTCAACAAGGTCTCACTCTGATTTCCTCCCTCCAACTAAGCCTTTCCAGCCAGCCAGAAGCATGAATGCATTAACTCCCCAACTCCCATGTGTACATGTTTAACCTAGAAAATGATCCCTGATCTTCCATATGGCTTCCAGCATTACTGAGTCTCATGCTAATGCCAATGGGCCCACTTAGACACTTAAAAAATGTTCTTGAACCCCGTTCCAACTTAAGATTACAAAATCAGATTTAAGTATCTTTTTTCAAGTTTCCCAAGTGATTCTAATAGTAGCCTAGTTTGAAAACATGAATAATAATTAGAAAAACCCGGGGCTGAAGAATAAAAAGGCTCAAAAGGGGGAACAATCCCACAAAAGTATCTTGAGGAATTCAGTTTAAAATGGCAGAGTCTGAGCTAGTTTGGCCCACCTCTGAGAGATCTATAACTTTAGTTTTGAATGTTTTGGTGGTCCCCTCCTCCACTCCATCAATATGTTCATTTAAACAAACAAACAAACAAACAAGAAAAATGCCAGTATCAAAATAATGAGACTCTTATCTCAATTTCTTAGGATCTTAAGATTGACAGTGATGTTCAAGAACCAGCAGAACCAGAGGATGACCTTGACATTATGCTTGGCAATAAAAAGAAGAAAAAGAAGAATGTTAAGTTCCCAGATGAGGATGAAATACTAGAGAAAGATGAAGGTAACATTGGGTACTTTAGCGGCTTATTTGTAAGTCACTCAGGCCTTTATCCTGATTCCTGAGCTGGAGGAAGGTTAAAATAATATTTTTTCTGCCCCTTACTTCCATCCACTGCTTGGTAGTGGAAGCTGAAACTAAATGGTATTATTTGGTGATGGCATTTAAAGATGTCATAGAATTTGTAATTGTGATTACATTGATTACATACTGATTCAGACATGGGGAAATTAACTGAATTTTAAATAATGTTTAATTTTTTAAAAATGTTTAAAGTACAGGGTTTTTTTAAAGTGTATTTATTTAACTTTATTATTATTATCATTTTCTAGTTTGATCAGACAGACAGAGAGAGTATTATTATCATTTTCTAGTTTGATCAGATAGAGAGAG